TATTAGAAATTAAAACTGAGAAATGTTAAAAATATTTATTTATTTGACTTTGTGGAGCCCTTGAAAGGACCTCACTTTGAGAATCACTGCCTTATGCTGACCCCAGAATATTGATTTGGAGTATCTAAGGGCAAATCCACATAGCTTCCTTGCCCTAACCCATTAATAAGTCCATGAGCACATGCCTTTAGGCCTCTGTCTTGATCTGTGCCCTCCCACAACTCAGCCAGCCCAAGAACAGTTGGAGTGCTACACTTTGGAAATATTTCCCCTACTACCCCACCTCAAGATGCTGTGTGTAGGCAATGTAGGATGTGCTGATGGGCATTGCAGAAGTGGCCTGAAATGATGTGCTCCATGTAAGCAATCTTGTAGCTCCAATTGGTTCTGCTAGTTTCCTGTGGGACCACCTCCTTCAGTCAGGTCCCTGACCTCTTCACCCATCCATCTGTCTTCTTTTGGCTGCAGGAGAGACCAGAACTCTGCCTTCTGCAGCTGTTTTGTTTTTAAATGGTTTGGTATACTGATCATCCAGCATGAAGCCATGAAATTGACCAGCCTGTACCTGGCTTAACACATCTAATTGAAACTAAATAAAAAGACTTAAGACTTTCTGTATCTTGCCTGGCAGGAAATTCACTTCTCATTAGCTGCTGTTCCCAGGGAAGTCTCAGTTTCTCACATTAACTCCTGACATTATATTTTTAGAATAGTTTAAGTTCCCATTATGGTAGTAAAAGGTATGCCCCTCCAATACACATGTAAGCTGCATTCACTACCAAATCTATGAAATTCTCCCCCCCGCCCCCCCCCCATGTGAACTGCTTAAAGTCCCCTTGTGAAAAAATTCACAGGAAGATGAATTGACCCTGAGTGGCAACAGGGAAAAGAATCAGTCAAGGACCTGTGACTCAGTAAACTAAATTGTTTCTATTCACCAACCGCATATCAGATAGTATGGCTAGCATGCTGACTCAGTAGGAAGGGATAAATAATAAAAGGTCACCCAGATGGGTCTATCTAAAACATTCCAGTGTCATGCTGTAATTTACACTGTGACTGCCTTTTTCTTTGTCTTGCCTTTGCAACGTAGTAGGCCAAGGGTATGTAAGCTATGGTTCTACCTTTGCTCAGGGCTGCTCAACAAGCTGCCAATGCTTTGCTGGGAGCCCAGTGTTCACTGTTTTATTGTTTGAATGCTAATAAAATGTTATTGTATCTCAAAATTGGGTTGCTATAGATGAGCCAGGTTTTGGCCACAATACCACAATGATCCTCACAACTAACCCCCTTTCTCAAACTCCAGCTTTTCAGCACCATTTTAACCACCGGCTGTGTCTTGGCGTCACAAATCCAGACAACCACTGGGTGGCAGCCAAGAAATACAAAATACCCCTCTTGTTTGCCATGTAGTGATCAATGGGTAAAATAGTTGATGAACTGGCCCAACACGTTAAAAGAATAATTATACAAAAGTTCAACCAGTGTTACAACAGGAGAGAAAAAAGCTGGGTTTTTACTATATTCAATTGAGATTAGTGGTTGAGTATTTAGATAAGTGTATTATTTAATACCATAGAGCACTTTGGAAGGTTTGTAACTTGGCTTAAAAATATGTTACATATTTATTATTAATCATTTCTCTGTCCTAGATGCTCCTTACCACCTCCAGCTTCTCATTTTATTTGGAGTAGACATGCAAACGTACTTCCAAATGAAGTATTGCATTGCATTTATCTAACATTTTTAAATTCTAAGAAAGACTTTGATTTCAGAGGCCTTCTTGGAAATAAAATTGATGTTCATCTTTCAGTTTGCAGCATGCTGACTTCTTTTTCTAAAATGAAAAGAATAATTAAAAAAAATTAAAGTCAGGTGAGACAAGGAGTCTTATGGACATTTGGGAAAGTGTTTGCAGACACAATAGTACCTATCAGCATCATACTGAGGAACCTTCTCCAGAGTTTCAGAGTGCTTCTTAACTATACAGTACTAGAATTGCTGAGGACTGAATGAAAATCAGGTCCCTTTCTGAAACAAGCAAACAAAATTGCCGTTCCATTTAAAAGAGAATAAGGAAAAAGAACATAAACCAACTGAGTAGTAATATTCTATGCACTTACCTTTGAGTAAATCAGTGAAGTTTACTTCAGAGTAGATATGTATGTTTGCATTGGAAACCATTAAGGATAATTATTTTTTATAGCATTTCAGAAGTTTTTCCAGTAGTGTAATTTTTTAAGTGTACATGGATGCTTTTTCTCATAAACTATTGTTTTGTACTAACCTGAATCAATCTTTATTATATTCAGTTTAATAGTAGAATTTCAAGTATTTCTGAGGAAATTACTGTTCTTGAAATGTACAGAGTACAAGCCTGGATTGCTGTAAGAAGTGCTGCACAGGTGTGTACTGTTTTTTTTTTAAATCTAATTTATCTTTGCTTAATTTTTTTTTTACATAGCCTTCTGTTGGAGAAAAAGACCCCAAGGAATTTATGCTTTACAATGGAAGGAATGAAGGGAGGATATAAAGGCAGTATTTTGTATCATTTTATAAACAGGTAGTCCTTATTTAGCAACTGTGTCGTTTAGTGACCATTCACAGTTACAACAGTGATGAAAAAGTAACTTTACAACCAATCCTCGCATTTATGACCTTCGCAGGTCTGTAAAGCAAAGGAAAGCTGAACCAAGATCATAAGCACAGTTGTGGTTTCACTTAGTGACCACTTTGTTTAATGACCGAGTTGCCGGTCCCAATCGTGGTTGCTAAATGAGGATTACCTGTATTAGACAGCCTTTGTAATTTCAACCTTAGGACTATTCTTTGTATCATTAAGGTAACTGTTAAAACTTATGAAAGCACAGTGGCTTATTTCAATAATATTTATGTTAAAGTTATTTTACATTTTAATGGTTTGTTTACTAATTAAGATTTGCAAATTTTAAGTATTTCAAGGCTTCTCTTCAATATAGAATCAGAATCAGAAATGTTCTTTTTGTATCACTGTAGTATATTTAACAGTGGTCATTCACCTCAATATTTGACACTGATGAGAAGATGTTAGTACAGTATGGTAATTTTTATGTGTTTCTAATTTTAAGCTTACTATCTTAAATCTAGGTCAGTGAAGCAATTCTGACTTCCCAGCAATTAACTGGAAGAAAGACTGTTAAATTGTATCACATGAGACCAACAGTGCAACAAATTATGCCTGAATTTGCTCTTCTGGATCTCAGTTCTTCTTATAAGGATTTTTTGTCTGGTATTTGCTTTTTTATATTATGTTGTTTCATGGTCTAAATGTTGTTACAGTAGAAAATTAGAGCGTTCATGACTGTCTCTTTAAGGTAACAGGGAAAAAGAAAAGCCACAGTGACAAAAAATAGATATTTTTCTTGTTCTTAAATAGCAAGATGAAAATTTTGCCTCTTATAGTCCAAAATAAAGCCATACAAATCTAATTTCAATCATATTCTTTGCAGACATTGGTTTTTAAATATTTTCCTGACTGAGATAATTCAATTAATTTGCTAGTAATCTCTATAGAACTGTTGTTAAATGGTACAGGTAGAATGCTATTATGCTCTTGATCTGAAACTTCATAAGTGTTTGCTCATAATGCATTTTGGTAATAAGCTGTTTCACAATGATAGCAGTTAGTGAAATAAAGCAATCATTAAAATACATAGCAAATGAGAAACTGTATTATCAAACTTAGAGAAAAAAAGCAATCTATTGCTTAAAATGTAACAAAGGTATCAGTTTACACGTGTGTGTGTATACTACAAAATATAGGATTTAGACCAATATGCTATATTGACAGCACATACACACAGAAGTCATTAGATATTGAATGATTTGTCATAGAAAGGAGGAATATACACTGCTAAATAAATACAAAAATTAGAAATTGATTCTCTCTCCCATTACACATAGAAATAGGTGAGATAGCTAGTTCTGGCAAGATCAGAAGGAAATGGCCTGAAACCAGACTAGTCCATAACCATAAGATAGTCATGCAATAATTAAAGCCTTCAACTATTGACAGAGGATTCTTTCAATGGACACTGGTAGGCTACCCAAAATGTGCTTACAGGAACAGATACAGTGGTGCTTAAAAGTTTGTGAACCCTTTTGAATTTTAAGTATTTCTGCATAAAAATGATCTAAAACATGATGTGTTCCCACATAAGTCCTAAAACTAGATAAAGAGAACCCAGTTAAACAAATGAGTCAAAAACATTATACTTGTTCATTTATTCATTGAGGAAAATGATCCAAAACTACCTTTGTATTACAGCTCTGTACCTCATAGCTAGTTCTGGCAAGATCAGATAGCTAGTTCTGGCAAGATCAGATAGCTAGTTCTGGCAAGATCAGGAACCCAGTTAAACAAATGAGTCAAAAACATTATACTTGTTCATTTATTCATTGAGGAAAATGATCCAAAACTACCTTTGTATTACAGCTCTGTACCTCTGTCCAGAGCATTGAACATCTGTATTACAGCTAATTCTATTTATGTTAAATTTAGCATAGTATAAATCTTTAAAAATTACTTAGTTACAGTGTTTTATTGAAGATTTTTTAATATTTCATACTCTAGAAAAATATGAAGTTACCTATAAAATTCCCATGGTGTGTTCTGCACAAGAGACAAAATCAGAAAGTGATGGAGATGAGAAAATCTCTTCTGAAGAAAGCCAGGGCAAACTGAAGATACCTTGGCTTCATGTACTACGTTACCATACATACTTAACCAGGTTCTTGAACGTGAGCCCCTTGGCTGGTAGGAAGCTTTGCTCTGTTGAAGGAGTAATATATCTTAGATTTTTAATACTGTGCTACAGTCAGGTCTGTTGTTTCTGTTGAAATAGTATAGTCATGTTCCAGCATCAGTTTCTTGATAAATTATACAAATGCAGTTGTGAGGAAGGAGGCTAGCTTTAACGTTTGATTGTTTTCCTAATCATGCTCATAAAAGAAACTGCACTTTTAAATGTATGAATTACCATCCATCTTTTCATGTACTAAAAATAAGAACTATAACCTGTTTCCCTTTTAAAAATGCATTGTGGTTTTTAGGGAAAAATGTGCTAATTATCACAATGCCTTCCCTCCTACTGCTATCCAATAGGCAATTATGACAGTATATACATCTGTTAACAACAATGCTGGATATAATTTGATGGCTTAATTCCAAACTCCAGCTTGAAGAGCTATAAAAACAGGCAGAATTGTTTTCAGCAATTTCTATGGAAGGATTCATGAATGTACAAATGGATGAATGGATCCATCATATACATTTGCAAAATAAAGGCTGCAGGCCTATAAATACTTCCCTGGGAGTCAACTCCATTAAACATAAAGGGAATTACTTCAGGATTAAATAAACGTGAAGGATTACACTGTCAGTTTTTGAAAATCTCCTATCAATTTATAACTTGGCCGGCCATTTGTGAAGTACATAAAGCCATCCACAGACAATCTTGTATAAAAATTATAGTGAAATAATCCAGTTGAAAAAAAGGAATTATAGTTATATAAAAAATTCTCAAAATTGGAAAGTGCTCCATTGCAGTTTTGTAAAGGAATATTATTTTACTTCCCACTTAATTCAGCCATTGTACACGAATGCCTAGGAACATTAAGAAGTCATGCAATCCCCCAGTATCCCCTCTACTTTTGGCCTGTTTGGAGGCTTTAGACTTAGATTACTGTATGTAATAGGAGTGGAGTATCAGTGGTAGTAGTGTTGGGCAGTATCTTAACTCAATGTAGAATTGATGTTTTGCACAAGAAAGATGTTAGCCCTCCAAATACAACATCTAGCTTCTCCAGATAATTCTGTGGAAAGCTTTTCTCTGAGAAATAAGAGGAACTCCTGCTGGTTAACGCAGACTAATATACCCACTCTTTGTTTAGTAAGTACCCTGGTTAGCGACCAGTTGCAAATACAGTGCTAATAAAATTCATTTTCTAACCAATGTGTGCATTTACAACCAAATTTCATACACCTGACAGTGCACACCAGAGTGAGAGTAATGCTGGTGAGCTGTACAAGAGAACTTTATATGAATGAGATGGCAGCAACTAGTGATCTTTGCAGCATCTCCCTCTCTGTCACGTGTTCACTTAGTGACCATTTCGCTTAACAACCAAGTTGCTGGAACGGAATTCAGTCTCTAAACGAGGAGAGGGTGAATAGATCTGATCTAGATGAATCAAGGATTCTAAGAAAGAATATGGTCCAGGACCTACCACTAATATTTCTAAATGTCCCAACACCTAAGAAAAACTGATGCCAGGCCTGGCAGTTAGTACATTCTTTAATTTCATATGAGATATTATGGAAAAATCTTTACTTTGATGTATTTCTCTTGATTAGCAATGTCTGAAAAATTCTTCTTTGAAATGCAGATGTGTTATTTTGTAATTTTTATAATAGTTCATACATATTGCTATAGAATTTTAGCCAAAAAAAAAAAAAAAAGCCTGTACTGTTACTTCTTTCCACAGCTGTCCCAAAGGCAGGAAAAGGTTTATTTGTTAAAGAAGACGTGCTGTACACTTCCGTGTTTGACACAACAATTGCCCTGCGCTTGGCAAAACTCCATTCTTTTTTAAAAAACCATTTGCCCATTTATTCTGGCTGCTGTCTTCAAGAGCCTCCAAAACAGCTGTATGGCCTTGAGAAGCCTTTCTTTAGTATGAGTGCTATTGGAAAGGTAATTTGAGATTTAATCATAACTTAAAATGTATTTATTATACATATTTATATCTTTATTATAGATATTTATATTCCATTCTTCTGTAAAATATGTAAGATGCCTAATAAAATAATTAGATTATTTTATTTATTCTATATAAGCTGCCAAAAGGGTTTTGTTTTTTTGGCATCAGGATAGAAATATGTTTAATAAATTTTTTAAAACCATCATAATAAATAATGAAAAGAATGTATGATAGAAAAGAAAGTATAATTCTTTTTATTTTGATATAAGCATTACCATGTGGTCATTATTTGCCTATGCTGTGAAGATTTAATCTATTATTTTAGCAATATGAACTACACTCTTATCTTTTACCATTTTTTCTTTGGGGAGGGTAGGAGAAAGACATTTTGACCTTTTAGGATTGCTTTCCCATCTAAATGGGGACAGACTATGAAATAATATTGTCGAAGGCTTTCACGGCCCGCATACGATGGCTGGTGTGGGTCTTCCGGGCTGTGTGGCCGTGGTCTTGAAGTATTGTTTCCTAACG